GAGGAATTTGTCTGTTGTCCCTTGTGTTACTGAGAGAGCAGGAATATCTGTTTTACTGGAGTTATATTGTTTGAAATAATGGATCCGATTCTCTACAAACTGTATTTTTTTTCTTTGACAATTTTTAGGGTGAAGATCGGATGTCCCGGGAGGTATTTTATTATGCATTTTCTTCTAAAAAGTTTTGTAACCTGCAAGAAATGTGGATGTTTAGCTGATGGTGTTGCTGAGTGAAGCTTTATCATGTTGATGTAACTATAATAACAACCGTTTTAGTTATTTTGTCAAATGGCACTTGCTTGTGTCAGAGGGTTGGAAGGTAAAATGTTTTGGAGTTTTTTTGTGTGGAAATATGGTGATAATGGGTTTGACAATGATGAGTATGTCCAACTTATAGAAGGTGAAATTTACGTTCCACTTTTTTCCTTCTGACAATTCAAGCCAATTCTATGATAATTTTTTTTATCTTTTTCTCTGCTTCTTGCTTCTTCCAGTTGTTGGTTTCAATTAACTTTTGCTTTTTCCTTTCTCGTGAAGTTTTAAGCTTTTCATTCACCTTACTGAAAGAACTGTGTAGTCATGATCTTTATGATTATATCTTAGGGTTTTCATTTTTTGAGAATGCTTGTTAGTAATCAATAATATTTGTTCTGTTTTTCTTTTTTGGTTTATACTTCTTGTTTGGTGTTTTAGTTTTGAGGTTTTGAAAGTTCTGTGTTCACTTGAATTTTGATTTTGATTTCTTGATATCTGTTATGGTTTGGAAACAGATGGCTGATGTGGAAGCCAAGCTTGTGATTCCAGAGTCAGTGCTGAAGAAGAAGAAGAGAGATGAGCAGTGGGCTCTGGCAAAAAAGCAGGAACTTGAAGCTGCAAAGAAGAAAAGTGCTGAAAATAGGAAGCTAATTTTCAGTAGAGCTAAGCTTTATACAAAAGAGTATGAGGAGCAGGCATGTGTTTTTCCTCTTTCAGATACATAAAAAATTTGAAACCATGTTAATGCATTTGTTTCTCCTTAATTTGATATGGTCCATGAATTAGTGATGTATACTTGGTTTATTCAGGAAAAGGAGCTAATTAGTTTGAAGCGTGAAGCAAAATTGAAAGGAGGATTCTATGTTGATCCGGAAGCTAAACTTTTGTTTATCATTCGTATTCGTGGGTATGTTTGTTGGTCGCTGTAGTTTAATGTTGTTGGGAAAGAAGCTTTTGCTGATTCACTGTATCTTATATTAAAATTATCAGTATCAATGCCATGCACCCAAAGACACGGAAGATTTTGCAGCTATTGCGCCTGAGGCAGGTGATGTATCAAATCTTTTTTAAACATATGATGGATAATAGACTATGATTGTGTGTTTTCATGTGGTTTTAACAAATATTTTTTCTTGGATTGTATTTGTTCATGACAATGAACAACCTTCTTGTAGTGATTTATCTCTCCTTCCATTTTGGTGGTTGTACTTCCGCGGAGTAGATTTTGCAAAATTATGCACCTAGTTCGCAATCTTTTTTTTCTCTTAACATTAAAGTACAATTCTCTTGATTGCAGATCTTCAATGGGGTTTTCCTGAAGGTTAACAAGGCAACAATGAACATGCTTCATAGGGTTGAACCTTATGTTACTTATGGGTTTGTACTCTCTCATGATTGTTTTCTGTTGGTGAGTCCGTGTTTTTATGTTGTGTTAATGACAGAAGGTGGTTGTTTGTAGATACCCAAATTTGAAGAGTGTGAAGGAATTGATCTACAAGAGGGGATACGGGAAGTTAAACAGTCAAAGAATTGCTCTGACTGACAACTCGATTGTTGAACAGGTTTATATTGTTTATTTGCTGGCCATCTAAAGGAAAATATGTGCTGCATTTTGTTGCTTTAAGTTTGAATTTGTCATTGGCAGGGTCTGGGCAAATATGGTATAATTTGCATGGAGGATCTTATCCATGAGATCATGATTGTTGGTCCTCATTTCAAGGAGGCAAATAACTTCCTGTGGCCCTTTCAGCTGAAGGCTCCCTTGGGTGGATTGGAGAAGAAGAGGAATCACTATGTTGAAGGAGGAGATGCAGGAAACCGTGAGAACTACATCAATGAGCTTATAAGAAGAATGAATTAGGTTCTTTTGCGTTATTATTATTTTGAGGTTTTAGGTTTGTTGACAATGCAGATGAATTTTGATCTTTAATTGAATATGTTAAAAAGCCATTCTAATTTTTTTTCCCTTTCCTGGACTTATTTAGTTGTTTATTGTATGCCCTTAGGAAGTATTTTCCAGCTTGGGTATTAAATAGCAAAATGGTATACCTGAGGCAGGGAAGTATTTTGGCATGAATGGTTTCTCAGTTCAGCATTTTGGCTGGATGGTATTATGGTAGTTCTGAACCGATTCGGATGATCAGCAAGGTGTTTGTTATTTTATAAGTTAGTAGGATGGGAGTTATTCAGATGATCTCTGCACATTGTTTTAATTGAATTTGAAAAAATTTATGTATTTTTTTCAAGCTGATATAATTGCAGAGAAAAATATCAGTCATAATTTTGATCTTAGAATAAGTTCAAAAACGAAAAAGCTTGTGTTTGACCTTTTTTTCTCTTTTAAATAAAACATAATATTAGATGGTGAAAACATTGTTTTATTTAAATTAATATAATTTAATATGTTTTAAAGAAATTCAAAGTTAAAAACTTATTACTACCCTCTTTTAATTTCTTAATGATTAGTTATTAATTTTCTTTAAAAAATATTTTTATTTATTTTTTACTAATTTTTTGAAATAGCTTAAAGTCCGTTGGAGAGAAAATTAAACAGAAAAAATAATTTCTTTTTTTAAAAAAAAAAAAATTATTGCTGACATTCTCTGTAGGAACGACCCGCCAAACCCCGCCGAAAAATAGCTGCTGGTTTCTTCATACATTCCTTGAGAACACAGTTGGAAGCATTGATAATGGAGGAGGATTCTCTAACTTTACACAGCCGACAAAAACACGAAACCTGATCGAAGACTCTCCCTCTTCTTCTTTTCACTTACTGCCAAAGAATGCCGGCTCCATCCTTTTCACACTGTTTGGTCATCCAAAACAACTCCCCAAATCACCATGCTTTGATCCACCTCAAGCACGAGGGATATTGGAGATGGGTTGTGCTTGCGGCAAGACCTCTACATACTCGCCGGGGACTCAGACTCTCGAGCAATTGAAATTCGAAAATGGCTATGTTAAGGGAGTCAATGCGGAGAAATTGGCTGCTGGGAAGGTTTTTAGGCATGGGGTGGAGAACAAGAATGTGATTGTGGTGAATGCGGGAAATGCCAAGGCGGTTGCCATAGAAGCAGAGACGGCTAGGATTAATGGCGGTAATGGGAACGTTTCTCAAAGGACTAATGTTGTGAAGAAGATTGGAGTAGAAGAGCTTGTAGATGGGTGGCCAAAATGGCTTGTTGATAATGTCTCAAAAGAGATTTTGGCTGGTTTGGTTCCAAAGAGTGCGGATTCGTACGACAAGCTATCCAAGGTAAAATTTTCTAGTTTCTATTTCCCGATTCATCTGGAAGTTGATTTACTTCTACCACGAAAACAAGGTCCAAAGTATATCTATCCTTGAAGAGAATGCCAACTTTCTGATCTTCTTGAAGAAAACTAAGAAATGTGAAGATGCTAATCTCTTCTTTTTGACCTCTTTTCCCCAGTTCTAATTATTGTTCTTTGACATTAACTATAGTGTAAAAATATAATCGAGAAAAAAATTAGTTTATGAAAGAACTATAACTTGTTTTTGAAAAGTAACTCAGAGTTAGTATTTAGATTGAGGATATAGAGTTAAGTTTTAGTAGAAGAGTTGAATTGAGCCAGTCTTAGACTGGTCTTGGGTATAGTCCTAGACTGAAGGCAAGCTCAGGCAGGCACCATTTTTGGGAATGGGGGACCTGGCTGGAGTATACGATCATCAATTCTTCATGTTAATCATTGTCTGGATTGGATTTTGTTTAATTAATTTTAAAACTAGAAAACTTTACAGAACTAACAAATTTTGAGAAGTACCTTGATGCTACTTCATAAGGATAAGATGTATGAAACTAAAATATGAAATGTGAATACTGTTATCTCATGAACTATTTAGTATTAAGAATACAACTGAAGTTGGAGACATCGTATAAAGATTGAATTTTGAGGAAGTATAATATTCTTTATTGAAGAGGGTGCAGGACCCCCAAAAGTTTCTGATATTAATTTCAAGCTGGACTGGGCTGTTCTTCATGGTCCAAGACTTGCTGATCTGGACTAGCTTCTCTTATGTATTGTTAAAGAATTCATATCTGATCTCTCTCATGGGGCAAGTTACATTAACCAGCAACAAACTTATCAGTATTTTGTTTTCTTGTTTGTTTGATTATTTTTCTTGCAGAACATTTCTCTCTCTTGTTATTTGGCAGGAGATGTAATAAATTTCAACAAATGCATTACTTGTGATTCAAACCTATTAAAATTTTGAATTAATTTCAAGGGCCTGGTGGGGGAGAATTGAGTGTTGATGAGGCCATGTTGGAGATATGCTCATATTTTTGAATTCTTTTTCCCGAACTGAAGTTGGAACATATAATGTCCTTTTCTATCTGTTTTTTCCTTCCCATAGGTGGGCCAAGGAACCTACAGCAATGTGTACAAAGCTCGGGAAAGGGACACTGGTAAGATTGTTGCTCTGAAGAAGGTCCGCTTTGACACATCAGAGCCTGAGAGTGTCAAGTTCATGGCAAGGGAGATAATGATACTGCAAAAACTAGATCATCCCAATGTCATTAAGCTTAAAGGACTGGCCACATCAAGGATGCAATATAGTCTTATTTGGTATTGATTTCATGCAGTCAGACTTAACAAGAGTTATATCCGTCCAAGGGAAAGGCTCACAGAGTCACAGGTTGGAAATCAACTCGTGAAACTACAAAATCTATCTCATGTAGGGACCCATAGTGCTAAGATTTCAGCATTTTTTGAGTTATTACTTGCTTGCTATTGCTTTGAGATTTGACTCATCAGAAGAAAATGAGTGAAAAATTGTGGATGACATAGTTGCTCTGAGAAATGCATCGCATATTTTATGAATAATATAATATGTTGCATTCTTTCCTTGTTGTTTAAGTACAGATTCCAAATTTAGTGAAGCTTTACTTTGTTGCCACTGAGAAATTGTTTTCTTGGTCTGATAAATTTTTCATTTCTTTTTTTAAGATTGTTTTAATCTGTGCTTGTGAACCCTCACAAAGATGATGAGTGCTTTTCATTATAGGTCAAGTGTTACATGCAGCAGCTGCTTTCAGGTCTCCAGCACTGTCATGAAAGAGGAATTTTACACCGAGATATTAAAGCTTCTAACTTGTTGATAGACAGAAATGGGATGCTGAAAATAGCAGATTTTGGGCTTGCAAACTTTTTCACTCCTAAACAAAAACGCCCCCTGACAAGTCGAGTTGTGACACTTTGGTACAGAGCTCCCGAGCTACTATTAGGTTCTACTGATTATGGAGTAGGAATTGACCTCTGGAGTTCTGGATGCCTATTGGCTGAGATGTTTTTTGGAATGCCATTAATGCCTGGGAGGACAGAGGTAAAACTTTTTTATCATGTAGTCCATCTGAAAAATCATAGAAAGTGCATCAAACTTTTGAAAGAGGAAGAACATGTCAAAGAAAATGTCAATAATAATTATAATTCTATGGATAAAAGTTCTTCCTTTAGCCCCCAGTATATGTTTTCTTCTATGATATGAATGTGATAATCTCACTTCTGGCAGGTTATTCAGTGTATTACGCTTCTTGTGCATTCAGGTTGAACAGCTCCATAGGATTTTTAAACTTTGTGGCTCACCATCAGAGGATTATTGGAAGAAAATGAAGCTACCAACAAGCTTTCGTCCACCACAACATTACAAGCCCAGCTTTCAAGAAGTCTTCAGAGAGTTACCTTTCTCTTCCTTTGGTATCTTGACCACACTTCTTTCTCTGGACCCTGAATATCGTGGCAGTGCTGCTTCTGCACTCCAAAGTGAAGTTAGTGCATTGGACTCTTTCTATCCCTGTTTGTTGGTCTGTCTTTCATAATTTTCACTGAAAAGGGAAACATGATCAAGATTTACTGATTTTTGAGGTGGCAACAGTCCATACTGGAGATTTTCAGTGATGTATAAAGGACATGTTAGGATCATGGAGTGCATTGTGATTTTGCACAATGAATCAATCAGAGTTGCCATGGGCTAGCGACATGTTAGATCTTGGTTTTGCTCCAAGAATGAAAATAAAAGAGAGATATAATGGAACCAGAACTTTTTGTTAATAACTTCAGCTTTTTATGCCTTTCTTTCCCACCTATACATGAATTACTAAGATTAGAACCATAACAACTTCCACTAATGAACTTGCAGTTTTATTCTCTTGTTTCCTTTTCCACATAGCTAACATGTCTTAGGCATGTTAACAAATGTCTTTGTGGTTCCAGTTCTTTTGTTCAAGTCCATTGCCATGTGATCTCTCCGGACTTCCAGTACTCTTCAAGACGGAGGATGATCCAATCAAAATCAATCATCAAAAGAAGTATGGTTTGCTCAAAATAGAGTATTCTTTCTCTGACAAGTAGTTTTGACTTTTACAAATGCTATGACTCTATTTCTGTTACATTAGAAGAGAGGAGAAATTTAATTCTGGTACTTCTTTATTTATTTCAAAAAAAAAATTCTGGTACCTCCTTTTTTTAATAGACATAAAATTCTAACGAAACGTGAAAATCAAATGCACAGTTCTTGGATGTGGTCACCTTTCCTCAATGAAAATCCGATCCTCTATATTAATTCCATTGCCTGTTGCATTTCTAATTTTCTTATCAAATCTGTTAAGCTTTTTGGATGTCTTTTCTTAATGGACAGTTGTTACGGGCCAATGGTGTAAGTAATCATTTTTGCTTCCTAATAAATCGAGATGTACCATTATATTTTCAGCTCAATGTGAATATAGAATTTCTGTTAGAATGAAGCTACTTCACAAATGAAGTGACATGATGGGGCAAAACTAATTCTTTCATCAAGGTATCTGCACAAGTAGAATAAATCATAAAAATAAATCAAATTGCAAGGAGAAGCCGGAAAATGCAACTAAATGCAGCAAATATACAGAGGAAGATCTCCTCCGATCACAAGTTTTTTCCATGCAATTTGATGATTTAATCATTGCATCAAAGTGTCTTTCTGTTGCAAATGGTTTTAAATCTGATTGTTTGGTAGGGCAGAGGAGAGTTTGCTAGTTCATGATACTGTAATTTTGTTAAGGGACAGCAGGATCATGTACCATTTTGTAAATTGTAATGCTTTTGCTCATGCAATGGCAAAGGCAGGTCTTTTTCCTCTTTTGATTGTTCTAAGGGGGTGTATACAACCCAAATGGCTGAGACCATTTATTGTAAATTTTTGGTCTTAAGTCAAGATAGTTGATTTCTTTCTTTAAAAAAAAAAAAGAATCTGGATTACCCGATTGTGCTGTTTCATCTTGTAGGCACAGGTCCAAAGTAAAGCAATCCTCTCGAAGAAAAAGTGAATTTCATCAGAAGAAGGTTTCATTTTTGGAACAGGCAAAAGGAGATGCTGAATCTTCTAAAGAGGTACTGCATCTTATACTCGTATGTCTTTTGGTGCAACATTTTTGATTGAGTTGGCTATGATAAGATGGGTTTTAGTTATTCATTTTATTTCTATTAATTGGATAGGGTAGATTTAGAGTGTACTTGGAGAAACAGTTGAGAAAAATTATTATCGAAAAATTAAAAAGCATTTCTACATCGACAGTTCCTAATAGTTTTATAGTGAAGTTTTTATCATACAGGATGGTGTCTAGTGAAAGCAGAAATTCTTTTTAATTTTCTTTGCATTCAAGAAAAGGCTGATTGCATGTTTTAAGGGTGGAATGGAACTGTTTGTTCTTGTCTGGAATCCTTGGGAGATATAGAACTAAAGCTTTGCAGCCAAATTTCTTAGGTGACTTTATATTTTTAAGGTGGAACCCAGAAATATTTTGTTCTCGTTTGGAACCCTTCAGAAATATAGAACTAAGGCTTGCAGCCAAAATTTTCCAATTACATTCTGTCATATGCTTGGCTCAAAGTTCTTGAAGAAGTTCTGAGCATTTTCTGAAGCAAGTTACAAAGAAGTACGATTTATTTTCCTTCTACTGAGAAATCATTTTTTCTGTTTCCCTTCATAAGTGACATACAAGTCAAATTGGTTTTTTCTTGAAATGCTCCTTTGGCATGCTTTGCAACTGGTGTACGAAAAGTCAGAGGAGATAAAATTTTCATTTTCATTTTATTTTACTAGAGAAAAGTAGTGTATTCCATCATTTTGGAAAATAAAAATTAAGTCAGATCGTTACTCTTTTATTTGTTAGCTGGAGAAGAATGCAGAAGCAAACATGGAAGGCCAGGAAATGGAGGGTAACAGTTCTTCTAGTATGAAGCCAACTGGGCAACAGGCGAGCCTGCAAGTGTCCCTTTCTCCGATTCTTCCTCGTAATCTGCAAAGATCTACGAAAACTGATGCTCATCCTAATGCCCTGAGAAACATCCAGAATTTTACCCTTTTGCAGGCCTCTATTTCAGATCTAATTAACCCCAACCAAGGCAATGCATTTCCCCAATTTCGCAGGTCTCTGTCTACATTGGATTTTCGTGTGCTAGATCCAGAGAAGATATCAAAACTCTTCGATTGGGACAAAGATTAGGTAGTAGAAGGCAATTGCAATTTAGTTCAGATCATCCTTTAGTTTCATGAAAGAATTTTCTTTTGAAGAGATATTGTAGAAGTAAATGAATTATATATATATATATATGTGTGTGTGTGTACTTATTCAGTATCTTGTTTCTTCTTGTTCTAAGGAATTACAGCTTCCGCAGACAAGTGATTCCAAAGATAATTAACTACTTTTTGATCCTTCGTAGGGAACTTTTACATTATGCATGATTGACTCTAGCTTGATGTATGGTTGACATTGAGAATAATAGAATAGGACATTTTTTTTTTCTCCTCTTGCATTAAGCTAGATTGGCGGGTTTTCTGTCACCTTTTGTACTGATATCGAGTTCTTCTCCTCCTACATTGTTGTCAAACCACGCCTTTCTTCTTATTCTTACCTAGCAAATTCATCTTCTCATCCTCCTTTTCATGTTTCAAAAATTAGAAATTCCATTTTTTAAGTGCTTGACTATATAAACTATCTGCTTTATTATATAATTAAATATAAATTTTAAATTTGTTCTTATCTTCTCCGCCCTTTTGAATGCCATTGAAGGAAGATATAGCTCTTGCATGTTTTTCTTGCTTTCTGTACCACAATTTTAAAGCATGTGTGTGTGTGTGTGTGTGTGTAAATATAGCAATGCATCAAATCATTTTACCAAATTGAAATCCCTAGTGTCCTCCTGCCAATCTGCCAGAAGTTTCTTACGAGGCCTTGATTTGGTTGGGTACATTACCTACCCACAGCTGTCCATAGTGGGGGTTAGGGTTCCTCATGGCCCTGTGAGTCAGGTGTGCAGAAGGCCCTTAGTCCAGGCCCTGAACAGCTGGGTTTTAAATGCCCATCATCCAACCACCTTAGCGCGCTTCTCGGTCAAGAGCCCCCGCAATCAGGCTTGGTGGTTCTTACGAGGCCTGACGACAAGGTTTCGGCAACTTTCATATATCGGAGGCCTAGAAATGGCCTGCAATTATTTTAATTAGTTTCAAGAAGTTGAAATTTGGGTGAACTTTGTAATTTACTGGGTTTTTTAAGCGAGTTAAGAGAGAGTTATCCTCCTACTCTTAAATGTTACTATTTTGTAAACCAAACATGCCCTTAAGATAAAATATTTGTAAGTCATTTTTTTATTTATTTATAAATTGTCATATGTAAGATAAAATATATAAATCATATACATAAATATTTTCTTCTCTTTTCTATTCGATGATCAAACAACATTTAATATTTTGTTGGCCCTCTTACCATTATTACTGTTATTACTAATACGCGATACAATAACTGCAAATCATCATTGCTGCTGATATTACTGATGCTCCCATTATTTCTACCCTTATCTATCATTACTATTACTTATTATTAATATATAATAAAGAATTTACATGTATTTTTCTATGCTTTTTTATTTAATTTTTTGCTTTCTAAACAAATAATGAAAAAAATTCTTATCCGAATCAGATAATTTTAGTCAATGTCGGCCCAGACCACTCCAAGGTCATCTCCATTATCAATTTAAAAAAAAAAAAAAATTAAATGTATTATCATCTAAAACAATGCATTATTCATTTTGCAAATAAATTAAATGTAGCTTTTTAGCAACTTAAAGATGATTTGATAAAATTCTATATTTATAGAATTTTTCAATTCATCAGTTACAAGAAGTTAAAGATATATTACAATTACAAGAGGAAAAATAGTGACTGCAAAGAATGCTATCCTCCCCCAGATCAGATTTCCTAAAGGAAGCATATTACAGAAAACTTGATACACTATGAGATGGTTTTGCTCCAAGTCATATTCACTCATGTCTTAAAGAAATCGGCACCAAATTCTACATCATCAGTTTTGATGTTTCCATTTTGAGCCACAAGTATTCTGTACACTCTCTTGGAACAAATTTCACCTAATCTTCTATCACCACCTACTAACCCTTCTGTTGTCAAGTCCTTCAGCAGAAATTCCTTCTCGTGTACCTGCAATTTTACAAAAATTGATCCCAACAATGAGAAAGGATTCAATTTCATATCAATTTGCCAGATTACCACAAGCATTTGTAAACGCGATTTATTCCGTCCATTATATGTAATGTGAGAGAGTTTATTATAATTCTCATGTTTTAATCACTTCTCACTCCTAAGTGGGAAAAAAAAAGTAACAACTAAATATATTAAACCATGCACGTTGGACATCATTTCTGCTCATAACTAAGAAATTGTAGATAATGATGCCCCAATCCCAAACTTTTAAAATAGTATTAAAACTGGCATTATCACATCTAGCAATTGATACAACTCATCTATCAAACATTCTATTCCACCAAGAGTCAAAGTTGGTATCTTATCAACTAGAAAGAAGAAGAGGACTGTTCTACTAATACTTACTGATCTGTTGGGGTCCATGTAAACACTCAAAAGAGATTTCATGGTAGGGTATTTCTTTGATATGGCAAGAGCCATCCGTGGTTGTACCTTCGGGATAGCTACCAAGGCTTTCAACCTGGCAAACAAAGCATAGCAAGAATTAGAGTTTCATTGGCACAGAAAAAAGACATCCTATAAAGAATGAATAAAATGAAAGGTTTCGTCCATGCTATGGTAACAGTTTTGGAAACGACCAATATAACTGACCAGAACTTCAAATTATTGACAGATTTCACAAACCAAGTCCTCAGTTCTCATGGGAGGAGTCAAAATCTACTTCTAAGTGAAATTGACCAAGTAAGAAAAAACACAGATTTTGTACTTTATTACTTGTATCTACTCCAACCAAGTAGTTATTTTAAGACAAGTGCTCTTATCTCGAATATATTTAATGCGCACATGCACTACACCTGAATGCTTCAGAATCATAGTAATGGAACCTCCCTAAGTTCGTAGATGAATTATGACTCAGATCTTTATGGACCCTATGCTCATATTATTTTAACCAAGAAACAATTGATAAACAGTTCAAAAAGCATATTCAGTCAAGCTTCTGGCTTTTGTGTTTCTATTGGGGAAAAGAAAAATAACAGCTTTGCCAAATGCCTAAAACAAAAGTTCTTTCAATCACAATGTCCTTTTTTACTTTTGATAAAAGGTAACATCGAAATCTAAGACTTATGAAGAATCTAAAACAAAAGTTCCAACAATTCCAAATGTTGGAAGACAGAAGTAAAACTGTCTGTTGGATGTTGTATGCTATATCCAAGGTTACTCCTAATTCTCTTACTCGGGTGGTCACATCTTTCATCCCAGCAAGACTCTGCTACTCTACTCAAATCCATCATAAGAAACTTTGTTAAAAAAAAAATATCTAACCAAATAAGAAGATACAACTCACCATGAGCTCTTTTTTATCAAGTCCCTGTCAACTGTATCGTTGGGAATAATAGCCCCATTCGCACTTACAGACAGTCGAGTTAACTTCTTTCTGCATTTCCAAAGCAAAATATCTTCACATCAGCTAAAAGATTGCAACAGAAAGAGGTTAAAAGATTGTTCAAGGAGGTCAATTGTCATTGAAGAAGAGGACAGACAAGCCATTCAAAAGGAAGTGAGTGTAACTCATCTTTCTCCCAGAGTTCTTTGAATGAGCTCTAAAAAGAGAATCAATAGGAACCCTCCTTTAAGAGCAACCATCCTTACTCAATCCCCCTTTTTTTATGCTACCAGTCTTGACACCAGGATGGGGAAGAAAGAGAAAGAGATCCTTCTCTCATTAGGAAAAAAAATCACTATAAGGCACTAAAAGGATAGCAACCCAGTCAAACGTAAAATTTATGATGAAAATGCTCTAATTTTTTCTAACTATCTCCTATATTACTTTCAACTCCAATTTACCTTTCTTGAATAAAAACAACATTGCACCCCTAATCCTTACATCCCAGACAATCTCTATGGACATGCTTTTCGATTCAATACCCTTTTTCCTCCCATTACAGTGTACACTTCCTCAAAAGCCCAAAACTAATTGTCAACTAAAGCAGCCACCATCGTGGAAAGGCCAAATCTAAGAGAGAGCATATCCTAAAGCTTCCTTGTCAAAAGACACCGAAAGAGAAGATGATTAGTAACTAGATATCCCCTTTATAAGGAGAATATTCAATCAAAAACTTTTTTTCCTCACTTTTGGCATGGTGACAAGGAATCTAGAAGAATTGAGCAAAGATGAATACTTAAGCACTCTAGCTCAATTTTGTCAAACATTACAGAGCTTGATTCAAACTTGATTTAGCCTAATGATAACTTTATTTAAAGTAATATGAGGCTCAGGTTCAACTTGACTAAACCATATGAGGTGTAAAATTAAATAGTCTCGGCCAACAAGGTCAACATAGAGATTTACAAACAGCAGAGTAAGAATAATAAGAGTTTGCAGTGTCATTTATAGAAGTAGATCCCAATCTTTATTTATGATAAACAAAAGAACATACAAGGCAAAAGCTTGCAGTATTCCCCTCAAGTCTTCATGGTAGCATCTTAGAAAACTATCATAAAATGTTGGGTGCACTTTCAAACAATCTGGTAGATTCAATTTATAGACCAAGCTCCCCACTTTTCAAGGGACTCCATGGCTTATAAGCCCTCATGCCTCAAGCTACTGTACACTTTCTTCCACATTGGGGTGTATGCTTCAGCAACACTATATCCCCAAATTTGAAATTCAGAGATCTTCCTTTGTCAGAATATTTTTCTATTCTATTAATCTTCTTAAGGGCATCTTTTGCCTCATCAAGCAATTGTTATATTGCTCTAGCAAATTATAGGCTGCTAGGAAACTTCGGCAACCAGATTGTTTTGCTATCTCTTGAGGCATCAGAGGCAGCACAACCATTATTGCTTGAAAGGGACTTGTCCCTGATGATGATGATTTTTGTAGATTGTAGTAAAACTAAGCAGTATCCAGCACTGCTATCCAATTCTTCTGATTTGTTGTCACATAGTGACTCAGGGACTCCTCTAGTGATGCATTCTCCATCTATCTTTTCCCATCTGTTTTTGAATATTATTTATAATAGAAAACTAATTATGAACCCACCATGTTGAATAGGACAATCGAAAACCATTCCGTGATTGTGTATCCTAATCATTCACAATATCTACAAGAATACCAAAGTATTTCACATAATGCTTGAGAAACACCACAACAGCCACTTTAGCCGAACACACATAGGAAACAAAGAACGTCTTTGGACAATCTTTCTACCACAATCAAGATAGATCTCATACCATCTATCTTCAATAGCCATGTAATAAAGTCCATTGAAGCCAATACCAATGGCTTCGTTGGAATTGGCAGTGGCTGAAATAGTCTTACTTCATTAAATCTTTCTAATTTGTCTTGTTGGCAAAACAAGCAAGCCTTCTCATATAGCTCAAAAGTTTTCCATTATCCGTGGCCGATAGTAGCTTTTGGACAAAAATGCCAACATCTACCTTGTTCGTAATTAGTCCATTGTAGGTTATATGTCTCTTTCAGAAGTCATTATCTGATTTGACTAGTAGGGATACATTGTAGGTCATATGTCTCTTTCAATTATCACATATTCCAAATACATTGGTGGCGCTCTAGATTTGCCACAGGTGTGGCTAAATCTGGCTACTTGAAGACTGAAAATTGGTGCACAAGCTATTTTTCTTTATAAAAAAAAAGAAATTTTATTGAGAAAAGAGTGAAAATCTAACCAAATTGTCCAAAAACCTGCAAACAACAGTGGTATGGCCTTCTTTCTAAACCCAAAACCACCAATAATGGTGTTGAGTTCTAAACGAGGAGTAACCCGTGGTAAGTTAAAAGTGTCAAATAGCCAGATCCGTAGCTTCCATGCCATCTCACATTGTAGATGACACATTAGACACATGTCAGGAGACAAAGCTCGGTTTCACCTATGAATTTGCAACAACTCATTGGTGTTTACCCAATTTAGGATTGTTGTCATCATGAAAACCTTCACCTTCAAAGGAATGTGCCAGAAAACCTTGGTAAAAGTGCTTTGGCAACAATAAAAGTTTCTTTGAGAACCGTGACATGTCCACGATGCGCGTTAAGCATCAAACATGTATCTTCTTAGCAATACCAAGATTGTCTCATGTAGACACGGGTATGCACAAAAAAAGATGAGTCCAAGCAACATAAAGACAGAGAGAACACAACACATGAAGAAGATTAAAAATGAAATATAGAGATCTGAAATCTAAATAATCAAATTAATATCTCATGTTGGTATAGTAATCATATAAATAGTCTAAATAACAATTAAGCAAGAGCACCTTATTTACATACACTAAATATAATCAAGTAAGTCAACAGTATATAAATATAACTAATTATTTATAAAAAATTATCATGATTGACAGTAGACAGAATATATAAAAATAGTTATTTTCTTTTTGCTGATAGTAGCACGGTTATAAATTTTTTTTTTGAGATAAAAAATATAATGTGATTCAATCATTCACAAACACTCCATTTATAAAAAATATTTATATATCAATCAAAATATCAATAAAGTTTTCAAAATTCTCTATTACGTAAAGAGGATAACCCATAATAAAAAAACCCAGAGTTTGTAACTATCTATCTCTAATTCTATCAAACCCTCAAAAGCACTCATGTACCTCTTTTTCTAGATTACCCAAAAGATAACAAGGGGGATGAGACTTAGATATTTCTTACCTCCACTAATATCCTTTCAAACCCAAATATCTTCCCTCATTGACCCAACCATCATCCAACTAATCCTTAACCCGCAAACCAAAGTCCATAATTTTTACATAAATGAGCACCAAAGGAGAATATCATTATAGGACTCCACCTCCATTTTACATAAGAAACATTTGTTCACCAATATTTTTCCTTTCCTCATCAACTTGTCAATATAAGGATACACCCACGACTTGCTTCCCACGCAAAGAAAGCAACTTTAGGTGAAGCACTAATCTTCCGAATTTGCCAAAAAGGAAAGCTAGTGTCTGTGGCCTCATTTTCAGTCAAATAATTATAGAAGGACCTAACCGAGAAAAACTATTTAACACTGATTCTCCAAATAGGTGGTTGTTACTCTCGTTGATTGTAGCAATTGAGAGCGTGTAAAGGAGAGTTTCATAATCATTAACTTCTCAGTATTGAAATTTCTCATAACTTCATGTCATTCCCCTTCTTCCCTATTGCCTCTACATGACTCGTGTACCAAGATATTTTTGTGTCATGAAATATCATAGACCTGCAGAAATTATTTTCTGAATGATCCCCCTCTTAACCAAGCATCATGTCAGAAACTAACTCTGTTCTCCATGTGGTGGAGATCACGGTTTGAGTCACATGGGTGGAGATCAGGATCCAATTTAAGATGCACAGAGGCCACATGGAGATGAGCATAAGATGGACACAATTCAAGATGCACTTGGGTCGCATGGGAGGAATATCATTAAGCCAAGTGAACCAATCACAAGATCACGGACCAAGAAACTCAAATAAGCTTTTCAAGATTATATTCAAGAATGGATTAACAAAGAAAGAAGGCTTGGGCTGAATTTGGAGAGCCTTGAGAGATGGAGGCCGAACTCATTAAGCCACTTGGAGAAGTAGTCGATCACTCTCCTACAAGTTATGGACACTCGGCCGACTCTTCTACAGACCAAACATTAAAGAGTCCTTACTCTTGATGGAAGCCGATTATTAAAGAATCCTTAATCTTCATG